TTTCCCAAGTTTTGGGCCTGGAGCATATAGATGATGAAGAATAACAAATGAATCAAAAAGAAAGGTATGTTTTAAAACACCAATGTCCATGCATATATAACAATCTCTACAAGGTTATTCTTTAAACACGTGGGCACTTTCATGTGGTAGACGTGTTTATATCTCGATCGAGTTGATATGTTTCGATCTTAATAAGCTGCGAGACTCCGAGAATAACATTCGCCCAGTTACCGGTAGGATTTTACTGTAATGTTCATGCTAGGCATGCACTAAACCTAAGACCATAAATAAAAGTTTACCTCACGTGTTGCTGTTAAATTTGTTTAGGCCTTTTGGGGTCTGATGTTCACCATGGTGGTATGTATTTGGCTTCTTTAACTCAAGACTCCAATATATCTGATAGAGATTATTACAGAAACCGGCACTAAATTCAATAGCAGATACAGATTTTTTATATACGATAACAGTCGTTAACCTATAGCTGTACAATGTAACCTATGGGAATGCAACAAGAGTATAAATCTCAATAACTGAAAATTATACCATAGCTATCTATGGTATAATTTTCACAATTATACCATGGTTTTGTTGTATTTGGTATTCGAAAAGAAAAAAAGGAAGATAGCAAGGCCTATCCGAGGCCGCCTGAATTTTTTTAAATAGGAACAACAGAGTCAGTGTGGGGCCACTAAGCTAAACTGCCCGCTTTGCACCAGCCGATATAAATGAATGCCTAGGGTGGGAATCGAACTCACATACACCAACTCCGTTGTCCTATATTTTTAAATGAACGAAAATTCGATTCAAGAACAAAGTTTAAAAAAAAAAAGTATATATAAATATATTATTATATTATAATTGAAAATATAATTCGATTTTCGGTTATTGAGATGTATACTTGGATTGTAGTCCGTTAGGCTCAACTGTATAGCTACATGTAAAGGTTGAAATTTGCCGTGGCGGCTTTTTAAGGGGGAGGGAGGGGAAGGCATGCCCCTTTCAAGAAGCTTTATATATGGTAAATGCATAGATATTTCGTATTATTACTCCAAATATTGGATGGCTAGACCCCCCCCCCTCCTTTTCAAAATCCTGGATCTGTATCCGATTTTATATACATCTTAATTTAACGATTTGCTTAAGTAATAACTATAATGTTGGGCCGTTAAGAATAGGTGAACTTTTGTTTAAATTATCTATAGTCTACATGTGATTTTTAATGATCTTTAATCGTGATCAATTTTAAATCCTTTTTAATTAGATTAAATTAAATGTACAACTTGGGCTTCTGGTACAAATTAAAACATGGAATGATTCATCCAAACTCTCAGAAAGATTCTTGTGAATTAAATTTCCACAGAATTATAAATTAATACCAAAAACTTAAAAACATTTCAAATATTTTGATAAAATAAAAAAAAAACTAACCCTTTGCAGTTCAACTTTAAATCTGGGTTCCAGAAATCTTTCAAACTATATCTTGCGTCCATATACATACAGAACATATAATTCCTTCAACAGTTTTTAGTCTGTAACGTTACCCGTCACCAATACAGATGTGCATCCATCGCTGTCGAAAAATCTTGTTCAACTGATTTCACCGCTGTTTCAGAAGCCCGTGCGTATTTTATAAAGTAGGCGGAGCTTAATGTGTAAGGTCCTAAAAGGGTAATTTGACCGATTCTTATCAAAATTATTTTTGAAGTTAATAAACAAAAATATATGAAATACACATTTTTAAACAACAACATATGCAATAGGTTAAAACAGATATTTCATATATTTTGGTTAGTTTTGTGGTGTTTCGTAAATTATACCATAGTTTTTTGTTGAAACCCCTCGGCAACCTCACTCGACTTCGTCTCGTGAGGTTATTGCCGGGGGTTTCAACAAAAGCTATGGTATAATTTACGAAACACCACAAAACTATTCAAAAGATATGAAATATCTTTAACTTATCAGCATCTTATCTGTAAATGTAATGTCTACCGTAACAAAACTAATATTGGGTGGTATTTCTTATATAAAAATGAGGAGCTGTGGCATGATTTTTTTCCAATTTTCTCAATTCCAATGAGATAACTATCAACCAGAGTTAAAATGAAGTGGTAGTAAGCAAATATAGGCCATCGAACGGCCTTCAACTATGAGAAAACCCAATACCGTATAGTCGGCTCCGACATGAAAAATGTGAATTATTCAAACGAGAAAACTAATGTCATAATTTGAAACAAAACAATTTACGAAAAACAAATAAGACAGACATTAAACTAACGACAACCACTGTACTACTGGCTCCTGACTTAGGACACGCACAAAAATAATGTGGCAGGGGTAAACATGTTTGTGAGCGCTCAACTCTCCCCCTAACACCTAGAACAGTGGTTTATCAGCACAACATAAGAAAACAAAGAGCTGCGCTATGAGCCGGGGCATAATACGCTTGTCACCCCTTTAGCTCATTCTTATGCTTTAAATGAATTTATATGATCAAATAGAAATACTGTGAGCACTGTTCAAATAAACCCCCTCCCCCCAAACAACAACAACAACAACAAAAAAACAACAACAACAATAACAAAACAAAAACAACATGCACACACAGTGGTACCCATTGACACAAAACATGAGTAAGTTGGCACTATTAAGGCCACCTCAAGTTTTTGTGGCCTCGATTTTTGAATGAATAATATTCTATAACCGTCCAGTTTCAGTGTGAAAAATGGAGTTTTCGACGATTTTTCAATAAAGTTCCAAAATTCCGCATATCAGAAATTTATAATAAAAATAATCACAGAAGGGAGCTTATTATCCAATAGATACAAACAAGTCACCAAAGTTTCATAAAAACCACTCAAAGCAATTTTTGAGTGTAAAAAAACTGGAAAATCACCCACTTTTTTGGAATAAATTCCCATAACTCGGAAACGTAACCTCTAAGATTTATAAAAATTGAAAGCGAGCTTACGTCAATATAGATATAAACAATTCACCAAAATTTCAAGAAAATTGGTGAGAGCGTTTTTGAGTTATTGTCCGAAGTGTTTGAAGACGAACGGACGAATTTATGTGCGGAATGGCATAATGCGGAATGAATTTGAATGATTGTGCAATAATTTTATAATGGGGGATTTTATATAGGTTATGTAACTATATAAGCTAATTGCACGGTTGTTTGGTTATCGAGGATTGGTAGTGACCACACAAACGCACGTAGTATATATAGGTAGAAGTTTATTTTTTTATATAAAAATATTTGTATTTTTGTTTTTATATAATACAGTATTTAAATGTGTTATAATAATAATACTAATAATAATGACTTTATTTAAAGAGGGTGACCCAATTAGCATTCACTAATCTACCTTGAGGCCCTCACAAAAAACATACAGAAAAAATATTACAGATACTACAATTTTTAAACATATAACTAAACTTTCATGCTAGATGATTGTCTGTAGAAAAAGAAAAAAACAAATAATACATTATACACAAACATTAAAAAGACAATGATTGAGTTAGAGAGTTGTTACATATCATTTATAGTTTAAAAAATCCACACATTTTCTTTTAAAAGTACTTAGATTTTCACATAGTTATATTTCATTCGGTAGTTTATTCCAAAGTATTGAGGAGCTGTATGTGAATGATTTTTTCATCGAATTTGTATTAGGCCAAACTACAGTTAGATTATTATTTCTGCTGTGTAGGTTTATAATTGGACAACATAGTTCTTTAAGGTAATTAGGTGCTTTATTATTGAGAATTTTATGAACAAGAATCAATTTATGATAAGAAATCCTAGATCTGAAATTTAACAATTTCAGCTCTTTAAATAAATTTACAGTAGGTGTTAGTAGTGCTACGTCAAGTATAAATCTGGCAGCTCTTTTCTGCATCTTAACAATTCTTTGAATTCCATCTGCATTACAATTTCCCCTTTTGAGCAACAAAAATCAAATATGGGCAGAATAAATGCATTAAATTATTTACTACTACTAATATCTAGATATTTCTTAATTCTGGATAACAGTGCAATACGAGAACTTATGCTTGTACATACATGATCAATTTTAAATTTCCAGTCTAAATTTTTGTCAATATATATATATACCTAGAAGCTTTTGTGTTTCAACAGATGTTATTGGGTTATCTTGTATTGATATATTTAGTTTATGACCTATCAAAGCTCCTTTTTGATTCGTTCCAACCAGCATAGAAGTTGTTTTTAAAAGATTTATTACCATTTTGTTGATTAAACACCATTTATTTATAGTGTTGGCATCATGGTTTAGTTTTCTCTCTATCTCTTCCTTACTTATACCATGGGTATGAAGTGTTGTATCATCAGCATACATGTCAATGACTGAATTGAATGTGTTGTATTTATTTTGTATTACAGATATTACAATTTTTGAACATATAACTAAACTTTCATGCTAGATGATTGTCTGTAGAAAAAGAAAAAAGAAATAAAAGCTTGATGGACTTTTAAGGTAGATACATGTTGTATTAAAGAAATAAAATTTGAGGTCACGGGTCACTGCCGGCCATTCAGTATCCAAAATTGTTTTTGTTCTATTGTATTAAGGTAGTAAAGTCTAATGTTGAAGTGTACATAATTGCATGTGCTCAATTATGTACACATATGTTCAAAATAGATGGAGCAGTTTGTTTTGTAAAACAAAGTGCAAAATGTGTTATTCAATCATGGCGATTTGAAAAGCTCACTAGAGCTTGTATTGTGTTTATGTAGTTTACTGAATATCGACTTAAAATAAACTTTGGAAAATTGTCGCAAAAGGTGAAATTGAATTTTCCGTCAGAAAAATTTACTCCTGTCTACCTATATATATAACAGTGCAAAACAAAGGATTTGTATTTAGTCTTATATATAGCCACTTCACTTTGATAGTGCGTAAAATCGTCATAGTCGCGTCCAAACCTTGTTCAGTGTTGTATTTTATGACTGGTTTTCGTCCCGCTTCCTATTGATTTTCTCGGTTGCTACCTAGAAAACAAGCCCCAGTTATGTTTACATTCAAAACCCTGAACTGAGTCTGAGCTCGAGTGAGTCAGTTTATTTAAGTTTGCAACACGTGTAATAAATATTTCATTTCTTGTTCAGGTATGACAATCATTTGAATAACTTTTTCAAAACAAGTTTATTTCTGCTGCGATTTGGTAACAATACGATAATGTAATTATGAAATGTTCAGTCCACTTTCACTTTACTCATGGGCTATTCCAGAAATAATCCATCCCCCCTATGGAAGACATGCAAAGTCAATTTTTTTTTCCTACGAGAAATTTTTCAGATTTTGCAAAAATGTCTGGATTTCCACCTATTTGTCTAACTAAAGTTTTTTCTTGAAATTAAAATAATCTGGAAATCCAGTGTCTTCCATAGGGTTTGAGAACCAAAAATTGTCTGGAAATTCCAGTGTCTTCCATAAGGGGGGGGGGGGATTATTTCTGGAATTGCCCATTTAATGTTATTATTCTATCCCTTTTTAGCTCACCGGGGCCCGAAGGGCGCCATGTGAGCTTATGCCATCACTTGGCGTCCGTCGTCGTAAACTATTTCAAAAATCTTCTCCTCTGAAACTACTTAGCTAAATACCTTCAAACTTTAACTAAATGTTCCTTAGGGTATCTAGTTTATAAATTGTATCCGAAGTTTTGATCCATCAACAAACTTGGCCGCCATGGCTAAAAATAGAACATAGGGGTCAAATGCAGTTTTTGGCTTATATCTCAAAAACTAAAGCTTTTAGAGCAAATCTGACATGGGGTAAAATGTTTAATTGGTCAAGATCTATCAGCTCTGAAATTTTCAGACGAATCGAACAACCCATTGTTGGGTTGCTGCCACCGAATTGGTAGTTTTAACAAAATTTTGCAGTTTTTTGTTATTATTTTGAATATTATTATAGATATATATAAACTGTAAGCAGCAATAATGATCAGCAAAGTAAGATCTACAAAAAAGTGAATATGACCATAATTGTCAATTGACCCCTTAAGGAGTTATTGCCCTTTAAAGACAATTTTACACAATTTGTTCATCAAGTTTGCTAACATTTAAAAATCTTCTCCTCTGAAACTACTGGGCCAATTACCTTCAAACTTTAACTAAATGTTCCTTAGGGTATCTTGTTTATAAATTGTATCCGAAGTTTGTATCCATTGACAAACATGGCCGCCATGGCTAAAAATAGAACATAATGGTCAAATGCAGTTTTTGGCTTATATCTCAAAAACTAAATCTTTTAGAGCAAATGTGACATGGGGTAAAATTGTTTAATGGGTCAAGATCTATCGGCCTTATAATTATCAGACGAATCAAACAACCCATTGTTGGGTTGCTGCCACCGAATTGGTAGTTTTAACAAAATTTGTTATTATTTTGAATATTATTATAGATATATATAAACTGTAAGCAGCAATAATGATCAGCAAAGTAAGATCTACAAAAAAGTTAATATTACCAAAATTGTCAATTGACCCCTTAAGGTGTTATTGCCCTTTAAAGACAATTTCAGACAATTTGTTCATCAAGTTTGCTAACATTTAAAAATCTTCTCCTCTGAAATACAGGTGAGCGATTCAGGCTCTTGAGAGCCTCTTGTTTGATAAATCAAGGATTAATTTGTATAGAAAAATCTTAAACCCAAAATAAAAATAAATATTTAACATTTACATGTATTGACAAAAATTCCCTAACCCAATCCATTCAAAATTTTGGATCATCCACCGAGATGGGAGAAAAAAGAGACCTTACAAATTTGGTCTAACTAAAAAGCGACAAGAAAAATTTTAGTTACAAGAAGACAAATTTAGCGACAAGATAGTTTATTTACTATTAAAACAATTAATTTATAGAAAAAATCAATTAATTACAGTTGATTATTTGCTGTCATTGCTGTTTTATAAAGTTTTGTTAATTTTAGTATCACTACAAACAGTAGTAGTCTTGTAATGAGTTTTTAGTAAACAATATTTTATTACATTATTTTAAAGTATAATCTGAACATTTTGTAACAATCCCATGTATAATCCTATATACATGTACATGTATATATTTTGTTACATCTTGTGATCCGTTTATTTGGCAATCGCCAATGGCAGTCAGCAGGGTTTAAGAACATCAGTTGTTCGACCTGCTAGTCAAATGCGTTTTGTTAAAATATACTTTTTCACTCATTTGGTCTTTTGGAAAATGTTGTTTGTGCTGTATTTAGACCCCTCTACCGAGCAATTTGTTTTGCATGCACACGTATAAAAATTGCGGTTTTATCCAACGCAATCATAGGTTTGAACGTTGTTTTCAATTTAGACTTGTCAATATTTTTTTATAAGATATATATATTATGTTTAAGAACATCAGTTGTTTGACCTGTTAGTCAAATGCGATTTGTTAAAATATGCTTTTCACTTTTTTGGTCTTTTGGAAAATGTTGTTTGTGCTTTATTTAGACCCCTCTACCAAGAAATTTGTTTTACATGCACACATATAAAAATTGCGGTTTTTATCCAACGCAATCATAGGTTTGAGCGTTGTTTTCAATTTAGACTTGTTTATATTTTTTCATTAGGGCTTGTATTATATTTTCCTTCAGGTTTATATGATCCTTTCATCCTATTTCGACTCTTTAAAATTCAAGAGTCTATCCAAAATTGAGGTAAATTATATGGTCTTCCAAATACCGTTTCGATCCCTAATATCACTGAAGAGACATTAATTGTCGAAATCTGGATATGGTGTACAAATTTTTGCACCTCATGTTTGCGGTATACCATCTTCTCCACAAGTTAATTGTTTTCTGCTTGGTATTAAATTAATAATTAAGATCCATGTAACATCTCGTGATCAATTTATTTGGCAATCGTCAATGGCAGTCAGCAGGGTTTAAGAACATCAGTTGTTCGACCTGCTAGTCAAATGCGATTTGTTAAAATATACTTTTCACTTTTTTTGGTCTTTTGGAAAATGTTGTTTGTGCTGTATTTAGACCCCTCTACCAAGAAATTTGTTTTACATGCACACGTATAAAAATTGTGGTTTTTATCCAACGCAATCATAGGTTTGAACGTTTTTTTCAATTAAGACTTGTTTATATTTTTTTATATATATATGTGGACCTTTTTAGTGAAATAATACTCTCAGATCTGTACTTAGTATCTTTTTGTTGTGGGGATGTATAAGTACCGATTATCAGGTTGTCTACAAATTGATATCATAAAATATGCAATTTTATTAAGAGCTGAGCAGAGTGATATAGACAGTGGGATGACCAATAAGTACCCTGCCACGTCCACTCTGTGTTTTTGTTACTTGTTTTTGTGCTTTGTATCTATCTGATGAGTTCAGCCCTTTTCAACTGATTTTTATAGTGTTCATATGTTGTACTCTTACACCACTGTCCGGCCCCAGGTTAATGGGAGGGTTAACGATGGGCGCCTGCTAACATGTTTAACCCTGCCACATTCTGTATGTGCCTGTCCCAAGTCATGAGCCTGTAATTCAATGGTTGTCGTTTGTTGCTGTACATGCTGTTTATCATATTTGTTTTTCTTACATTATTTTGTACACTAAATAAGGCCGTTAGTTTTCTCATTTGAATTGTTTTACAGTTGTCTTTCGGGGCCTTTTATAGCTGACTATGCGGTATGGGCTTTGCTGATTGTTGAAGGCCGCATGGTGACCTATCATTGTTAATTTCTGTGTCATTTGGTCTCTTGTTGAGAGTTGTCTCATTGGCAATCATACCACATCTTCTTATTTTTATATAGATTATCTTATATTTGGTTTAAACCTTTGTTATATCAACCATGCCGACTCTACATATTATCAATTCATTCATTTATACACTAAATTGTAAACTATAAATATATCTATTTAAACATATCCTTAGTAACAAACATACTCTTTCTAGAAAAAATGAACAAATGTTTATTTTCCTCTCTCAGTGTCATGAAATAATGAAAATTCGCATATATTTCGAACAAAACCACACACACTTTAATGCATGTTTCTATATCTATTTATTTCAAATAATCATTATTCAGATATCTTGACGCTAAATTTATTTTCTTGTCGCTAAATTATTCTTCTTGTTGCTTCTTGACGCTTCTTGTTGCTAACTAGTGAGACCTGTTACAAGTTACATGCACAATAACAGAATAAGAAAGATAATTCTGTTTTGTATTTTAACTTCAGTATGAGTATATATCTCTAAAATAAAGGTAAGTTTACTGGTAATAATAGACTAACATAATGTATTCAATAAACTTATTGTTAATCATGTTAATAGACACAAATATTGTAGTCTATTTATTTCAACTGCTAAATTAATTTACATAAATATTATTTTGGATATTAATGTAGGTACATTTGTATACAAGTACAAAACAATGTATCATCAATATATATCATAAACATTTATAAATTACAATGTATGTAGCCAAAAAATGTGAAAGATTTAATTCATTCAATTTCAGAAAGACTGTTATATTGTGTTTTATTAATTTATTTATAAACAGTAACATTAACTGTACCAATTTTTCTGCACCAGGTGCACATTGCTGCTATAAATATTTATTCAATGATGCCTGAGGCTAGAATATTTGAAAATCCAAAACTTATTTAAAAAAATTGAAATCTTTTATACCAAAAGTAAAGCCACAGCCGGGCAAGGAATAGAGCTTTGCATGAGGGAGATATATTACCTAATTTAAAATTATTTTCAAAATTTTGTAAAAGCAAATGTTAATTAACAAACACAATATAAAAAAGAAGATGTGGTATGATCGCCAGGCACATATACAAACAGAATGTGGCGGGTTAAACATGTTAGCAGGATCCCAACCCTCCCCCTAACCTGGGACAGTGGTGTTACGGTACAACATAAGAACGAACTATAAATATAAGTTGAAAAAGGCTTAACTCATCAGATGGATGCAAATAGAAATACATCTAACAAAAACACAGAGTGGACGTGGCCAGGTATTTGTACATCCCAACAACAAAAAGACACTAAGTACAGATCTGAGAGTACTCACAGTTACTGACACCTAGATCAAAGCCAATAACAACTAATAAAAAAAATCATGCGTCTAATGCTAAATTATCAATCATTACACATCCAACATCCAATGGATTTAGTGAAAAGACGTCATAAACAGTCAGAGAAAAACATGACCTTGTGCAATGCCAAGATACAGGTGCCGACAGAATGTAGATCCATGAATGTGCATATGTATATAACAATAATATTTAGTTTGCTTTTAATTGACTGATAACAAAATCAATATCAATACCAATAAAAACAATATTCAAAGATCTAATTATAGTGTTGAATTGGTAACCTTTTAGAATAAGTTTATTTAAAGGATCGATAAGTTTACCAGGATCGTTTCTAAATTTCAGGGCACGGTAAACAACATCTTCATAAAGTTGAGGATGTGCTATCCTGTTTGAAATAAGCTTTCTACAGGTGCAACCAAACTTCAAAACCAAATCTTTATATCTATGGAAGAATTTAGTAAAGGTTTTAAGTAATTTGTGGTAACGAATTCCCTGACTTAATAATTTACCAGTAATACATAGATTACGTTCATCAAAATCGAAAACATCACAACAGACACGGGCATAGCGAACGAGTTGTGATATATAAACACTGTAAGATGGTGCTAAAGGAACATCACCATCCAAAAAAGGAAAATTAACAATAGGGAACGAAAAATCGTACCTTTTGTTGTAAATTTTAGTGTAGAGTTTCCTGTGTTAAACTGAAATATCTAAATATAGGAAAGGATAGTTATTACCGTTTACATTTGATTTATTTAAAGTAAGTTCCTTTGGGTAAATTTCGGCAGTATATTTAGAAAATTCTTGATTATCTAACGAAAATATATCTTCAAGATAACAGTAAGTGTTGTTGAACTTATCAATTAAATTTAATTTAGACGGGTCTTTACTGAGTTTGGTCATAAACTGTGATGCATAACAGTAGAAAAACAAGTTTGCTATTAAAGGGGCGCAATTAGTGCCCATAGGAATACCTACAACCTGTCGATAAACTTTGTTGCCGAGCATACTTAAATACTATCAAGGAGAAAATTAACAGCTTCAGTCATCTCATCACAATATCCATATTTTCGTACTGGCTACTTGGCTGGTGATACCCTCAGGGACAAACAGTCCACCAGCAGAGGTATCAACCCAGTGGTAGTAATAACATTAACATCATTAACAGTACCATTTGTGCACATTTCAACAATAACTGTCACTTCAGTGGACAGTCTAACAGTTATCATTCAATTGTGATATTATTTTATTATTATTATTTTATTAATATTATTATCTAGTCTTGTAATTACATGTAGTTCCTTTGTTAATTAAGTTTAATTGAATTATCTTATTTACCATGTTTATATTTTATAATTGATTTTTTTTCAGTGTGGCACCAGATGATTTCATATAAATAAACTGGTAGTAACAAAGGAATAACACAATTGATCATCAGTATGGCCGGTATCATTGGGAGGGCTTTTATACCATATTATAATCAGTTAATGGAAATACTTTCCACAAATCCTGATTTAAGGGCAAGCGCAAAAGGTAACAAGTAATTAAATTCTATGAGAACATACTTGTAAAAAATAAACAAACTACCTGATTTTCAATCATATTAGAATAAATATACTGTAAAAATTACTTCTCTCGTTTTAACAGAATATTTTTTATAGTCATACAGTTCAGGATGGATAAGTCTGACAATGAAGTAGTTTCTCTCAAAATTAAGTCTGTGACCTGATGACTGTTGTTTAAAATCCACATTGTCTCTGTTCTGGAAATAGTGTACTTACAATTGAAATATATTTTACTCCAGCTCTTTTGTAATGAAATTGGCTTAGATTATTATGGTTTTGTCCACTATTTTTTTTTAATGGAAATTTGTATTCTTATCATTTTTATTAATCTGTGACATCAGATAAATACCAGATAATTTTTTTTTAATCTTTCACATTATTTTATTAGTTTCTGTTTATGTACAGTTACATATATAAGTCTATGAATAATTAAATCATATATTATACTTAATCTATAGAGAGATTGATCTAGTTGACCATTAACTTAATTATTTGTGGTTATATTTAATGCAATGCCGTATGCAAAAAGATTTCTATCAGAAAAGTTTTTCTTCTTTTTTTAAAACTTTTAGAGACAACATTGATGCTTCAGAGTTTCTGTTATCTTTTTAGTGTTCAGTATCATTGTTTTATATTGTAGGTATTTTCAAACAGGTAGCATATGGAGCATGTGGCACTGCTATTGGGGGTGTTGTGGGTGGACCACCTGGGGCTTTGGTTGGTGGTATAGGAGGTAGGTACTTTTTTAAGAATCATAAATGGACCATAGCATTTTTGCAAGTCCTTTCTTGACTAGTTACCTGTTGTTATATAATTAAAACATTCTTTCTTTAGTTGGCATTGAAATAGTAGATTACCCCACAAAACAATATATCAAACAAAACAAACATGGAAATTACAACACCTCAAGATATTTTTTCTTCAGGTATTGTTGCACTTGTACATGTATTCTGTCATAAAACATGAAATTGAGGTTAAAAGGTTCATAAATTACATATTTCTGATGGTTCAAACTAAATAATCTTAGTAGTAATCTGAAAATGTTTTATATTGAGTAATATTTATAGACTTTATAAGAGAAAGGCGAAAGTTAAAGATACCAAAGTGATACCTTACAAATTTCATGACAAAATGTGTCTTTTCATGACTAATAATTTTGCACAAAATGATTTTAATGAATTAACAAATAATATTTAACTGTCCAAAGTATAATTAAACTGAATAATGAATACATTTAACTATTTTTTAGGATCAGTGTTAGGTTACCTGCAGTCTGATGAGTACGATTCACTGTTAAAAGTGTTGTATAGCTTGTCTGATAGTGAAAAAGCAAAACTTGTTCAGAAAGTACAGGAACAAGTGGGTGACACAGGAATTGAAGCTCTAACCAGATTCGTAGGAACTCAAGCTCATAGAGAAGTCTTATTAAACCTTATACGGAAGGAACTTTTCTAAGGATCCACAAGGCGGATAAAGATATAAGTCAAAGAGATCATTTATGGTTTCATATCATTAATGATAGTATGTAATAGTAGCGGTATTTTACATAATCTGTTTAAGAACATTGTACTCATTAACTCGAAATGATTTCTTTGAAATCTAATTGAATTGTTATTTTCTCTCTCCAATATACATACATTCTACTGCTGGAAGGTGACATTGCATTGGTAGTCATTTTTTTTGTCCACCATAACTTATATATTTTGTATTTCTATTCTCTTGTATGTTAGCTTTACAATCAGATTTTTTTACCTTTGCAGTTGTTTTGTATTTTCTATGTATCTATGAAATATTAAAACTTGTTTGTTTCGGCTTTATATATTTTGAAAGGCCAAAGTAAGTGGATTCTATTAAATGTTTGTTACACATTCATTTGTACTGGTTGCACAGTAAGTCTTTTGAAAGCATCCCTTGGTCTATAGTTATAAACCAGATGTAGCCTTTTGGTTTTGGAAGCATCCATTTCACAATTTTTCAAAGAGCTGTATCCTTTGGTTTTCTTTTAGCTATGATGTTGTACTCTTACTTCAAGTTATGGGGTCTGAATGCTCTGACCTCTGGGTACTTGCACATGTTCCACTTGTTGGATAAACTTCATCCCTTCACAGCACAATTTAATTAAAGTAATTCTTAATAAAAAAACATAATTTGGTGGTCTATGGCTTATTTTCATGAAAGTTTGTTCATATAGAAATTTTAATTTACATTTGATTTTTAGATTTTCATGATTTCCATGTTAAATTCCTGCCTGCCTTTTTTTGCATCTGTTTATGCATACATGTAAATTTACCACTTATACCATGTATACAACCTTGTCATGAAAATACACTTACCAAAAATAGTAATAATCAGATTTAATTTGATAATCATATACTTTTTCTTTCAATAATTTATCAATCAATGTATGCCCCAGATATAAGTTGCCTTATGAGGGAATTTCAGTACATAAGATAACTTGGATGGTGATTATATAAGATATAACGTAAAGTGTCTATAGTAAGTTGTTAATGGACATGTGTTGGCCTAGTCATGCACAAGATTTAATTTCTATTATTATATATTGATTTGAAAATGGTACAATTTTTTTATCAAAAAAGCACCTCTCTTGGTTTATCTAAAATGCCAAGAAACAAATATTATATTAGTGGATTTGAATCAATGCATTTTAACATGTTTTTTTATTAATATATTAACTTTCATAACATATATTTTATGTACAGCATTATAATGTGAACATACCAGTTCTGTTTCTATGCTGTTGTTTTCGGGTCTATGTACTTCATAAATTACAATTAAGCATGCTAGAGTTACTTTTCTTTGAATAAATAAATAACTAGAGACATAATAATAAAGTCACATTTTCATCACATTGCAACTTTTTAAAAAATATATTTGTACATATAAAATTACAAATAAATTGTCATTAAGAATTGTATGTTTACTGTTAATATTTTGTAATACTAATGACTTATCAAATTAAATTAATTAGTCAGTAGTTGACCGATGTTCAATTCTCATAAATTCGCCAAGAAGACACAAACCACGGTAAGAAACGCAACCTGAGGATATTGCATAACTCCCTAAGAAGTGAGACATTGAACTTCAACATGCAGGGGCGTAGCTACCCAGAGGCATGACAGCACGTGCATCCATGTCATTTTCACCAAAAAAACAAAACAGAAAAACCAACAGAGTGAGAAAGAGAGAGAGACGGACAAAGTTAACATATAGGAATTGGTCAATCGGACAGAGTGGGAGGGGTATTAACGTGATGCATCTATTATCTTAATCTCATTTAAAAATGCAAGTTAATCCTGGAAATTACGACGAAATTTCAAAAGCAGGTGTGTTAAATGCAGAAATTATATGTCATATCGAAACAGTTCATAAATGAATATGTGTTTTAGTCCTTACAATAATTCTATTGATATGAAACGATTAACAGACACACAGAGTGATATTCTTTGTAGTATGTGCCCCTCAACCCCCAAACACACAAAAAAAACCAACGAAAAGTTGAAGTAGCAGGTGCACAACTTAATGTGCCACCTAAAGAAGAATCAGTGCAAGTTTGAGGGAATTCCGTCAATATGTATTCAAGGAGTTGAGGCAATCTGTATTCATAAGCGAATTTAGATGATCTAGTTGACAGAGGCCTAGAGCTTTTTTGGCGAAAAAAAAAATGACGAAATCCTTACAAATTAGGCGATACAAAATTGTTTGTATTCATAAGCAAAAAATAGCTCAACTTAGGAACAAATTATTTTTCTTTAAATCAATATCCGTATTCAATGAAAATGCGATTGCAAAAACAGGATTTTTAAATTGCGTACTGGACATGCGCTTTACTTAATTGGCAACGTTATTCCTGCTTCCCTCTGTTTGTCACACAATCGTATAAAACAACAAATCAACAGCTTTATTATATTTTGGCTAATTTACAAAAAGTTATGAAATGAAAAAAGTGAGATTTGTTTGAACAAACTGATTTATCTGAAGTATAAAGTTGAGGTTTCAAATTGTTTCTACTCTTACATAAATATGCCCAATATTGAACAGCAGTTTCATTAAGAATCCATGTCAGTTTTTCTACATCTTATATAAAAATAAAATGAGGTAAAATCATGCATCAGACCTTTATGTAACAATTATGTGATCTTATATACCAAACAGGCATTTAGGTTCACGATTGCATTTATTTTTGTATCTAGAAAGCAACTTGTTTATTATATATTATTGTTTGGTAGTCGTCCAGCTGCAAATATTTCATGCATATTCTAGACAAGAACAAAATAGTACGTAGGTTATTTGATAACGGTAGGGCGGGAACTTTGGTCAACTGCTGTCGGAAGTGTGTCTATTGAGTAAGTACAAAAATTTCCCCTGGTAACTTGTCAGCTAAGCACGGACCGCTAAGCACTGAAGTTGTTCAAGTTGTGTCAGGAAATAAATATATGATTATTTCTATATAGATTCAAATAAGGTTGCCGTAATGAAATCTAGATATTAGGTGTACGTCCGTTTATGACAATTTCGCCGGTTAGTTCGTATTTAAGACTTCGATTCAATCTGATTGATTGTTTTGTTATGTTTATGCTAACAGAAACTCCACATATATAGTATTGTGTTTATGTTTATTGTTTGTTTTTTTATACATATAGTTTTCTCAATACAAATACTAGCATATGAAACAAATCTTTCACGGTGTACAAAAGAAACGCGAACGACAATGTTTAATCTTCATTCAACTCGAAGTTAAACAAATAGTTGACCCAAAAAAAAACACAACAAAAATGTACAAGTTTTATTACGGTTATGATTGTTTTGAAACGCTATATATGCGGAGCTTCCGGGAGGCTTCGCCCCCGGTCCCCCTACCAGGGCACTGGGGGCCTTGAGCGGTCCCCAGACCCCTCGACCTTTAGTTTGTGATTCCACTTCATTAAGAAGATAGCTACGCCCCTAACATGATAGGTGTCTCCACACTTATAGTCAAAATGTCACAACCATGAATAGTACACAATCAGTAACTACAGCATGTACAGGCGATTATTCTGGTACACATGTATCTAAAAATCGGTAATTCATCATATCAGACGCTTTTTTTGGTATCTTAAATCTAAAAACATGTCGCTAGCGAGTTAGACACAGAAACATGAGGCTTGTATAGGGTATATTGGGATACGGGATATTTGCCATTTTAATTTTAGGGATATGGGATATTTGTTCTAAAATAAATGGGATATGGGATATTGGGGCATTTTTAGGGATATTGAATTTTGAAAATGAAAAATGAAAAAAATAATGTGAAAATTAAAAGTTAAGTACAGAAATATTTACATCTCACTTGATAAAATTTACTAGAAAAAGTTATTTAAGTGCTTTGTTGATTTTCATTGAGTTTTGTTATTATAAAACACCCATGCAACCACGCATCCCAAATTGCATGATAGGACCCAACACGTACTATTGATCACTATTTTAGTGTTTCGGCAGTTAAAGCTTGGGATTAGAGGCTCTGGCTTGGGATGGTCATTTTAGATGCATTATTTTAATATAATCGAATATGAAAATTATTCATGTATATATTGATATATTGATATTTTAATTCTTCGTCAATAGGTCTAGTTATTATGACAGATCTGCCATCATCAGGGGGTCAACTGTCAATTTTATGTTAAAGTCTTCAACTTTGATCTACTAAGCATATCTCCAACACAGTCCTACAACTAAGCCCAAGAAATCACATCAAAATGATGTTGGATTGAAAATCAGCTTATCAGATACACCACTTAGAAAACACAAAATTTTCAAATAAATTTGTCACTTTAATTATGAGTTTGTTTGTTAATGAATACCACATGTTTGGTTTTATTGATAATAGGTGGTAATTGTTGCATTTAATAGTAAATACACAACACTTATCAATATTTGTAAATGAAAATATTTAGTTAATTACAAATATAAACATGTAGTTCAAATTAAAAATAATAGGAAGACAAATTAAAATTTCAATTTTTTTTTAATCTGTAGGGAAATATAACATCACAAACTTTCCTTCATCCATTATAATATTTAATTTCAATGATTTGTTAAAAAAAATGTTTAAATAAACAAAATTTCAATTAATTTCATTGTTCCTGTCCTAGAGTGGTAAAACCAGAAACTGGACACATTGTGTACTATCATCTCTACTGAAAAGATACTAACTTTCTTTTGTTTTAAACATATCTGTCCCGTTATCAGCATGAGACGACAGATTTACGACTAAAAATTGAAAGAAGATATGAAATTTTCACTCTGAAGTGCTTAGATGCAAGACTGAACACTTTTATGTTTGCTATACGCAACTATTGGTGCAGCATTGAATATTTATGCACAATCTTCGTCAAACTGTTATAAATGCCCGTTAAACTGTAATAAATGCCCGTTTCTTTATTTTACGTATATATATATATATGGGTTATATTTAGTTATCAAAACTAACGGAATATTTTCTTTTTCCTTCGATTTATTTTGCTGTAATAATTCAGTACGGTCAATTGAAAAAGCATCAGTAATACTATCATCTATTTCGACGTTATCATAACCCCTATTTAATAATTTCACTTTGAAATTAGTTAAGATTGTTTATTAAATTGTTATGGTCATTTGTGTTTCTAATTTGCCGTATTGCTTCACCTTTAATAAATCCTCGGAATACATGCTGTGAGTGACAGCTATTTCTAAAATGTATTTCAAGGTCAAGAATGCCATGTGTTGTAAATCTTTGACCTTTAATTACATTTTGTCGTTTGAGATTTCATAGGTGGACTTCAATAAGGGGTTATAATTATTTGCTAGACGAAAAGAATCTGCAATTTCATCTGATGTTCCATCATATATTATGAATCCATCGTCCCTATATTTTTAACCTATAATATAAAATTAAACAGACCTAGAAAAAATCCTATTGCACGAGTTTGCTATCTATTTATATCTATATTTATGTTTATAAATCGCTTATATGACCGTCGGCAGTTTTCGGAGGTCAACTCGATAGTTAATTAGATGGCGTCTAGACTAAAATACACAAGAAACGATGAAACATATTATCGAGCCCATGCCTTGTAAATTGTTTATTTTATACTTTTTATAATTTGGATATATGTTTTAGTATGCTTTAAATCAAATATGAGAATTTGAGTCAAATCGATGAATATGAATTTGACAACCAATGCCTCTTTAAATGAATCTAATTGGCAGTAATGTTGAGTATTTAGCTGTCTTGTGACTTCTGTTATGTAGTCCAGTCTGTCTGAATTAACACAATTTGAATTGTTATCTGCCTTTTTTATTACTATTGTTTCATCATTTTTCAAATTGCGTACTTGCTATTCTTTCGCCCTTCGTAAGATTGGTTTTTTTTTTATTTACTAGAAAAGATAATTCAAACTTTGTTAAATCGATATAACTTTCCGACGTATGGCACGTAGAAGCAGGTTTATATCCTGTATTGCTATGAAATGAATGAAGGTAATTTTTGTCGAGCCTTCGACTTTTGTCGAAAAAGCGAGCCTACATTCCGTCGTCGTCGGCGGCGGCGGCGGTGTCCACAAATATTCACTCTGTGGTTAAAGTTTTTGAAATTTTAATAACTTTCTTAAACTATCCTGGATTTCTACCAAACTTGGACAGAAGCTTGTTTTTGATCATAAGATAGTATCCAGAAGTTAATTTAGTAAAAAAAAAAAAAAATCCGTATTTTACTTATAAATGGACTTATTTTTTCTGCCAGGAAATATAACATTCACTCTGTGGTTAAAGTTTTTAAAATTTTAATAACTTTCTTAAACTATCCTGGATTTGTACCAAACTTGGACAGAAGCGTGTTTATGATCTAAAGCTAGTATCTAGAAGGAAATTTTGTTAAAATTTTGTACCTGTTTTTCTGTATTTTACTTATAAATGGACTTAGTTTTTCTTCCAGTTAACATTACAAATAGTCTGCAGTTA